TATTTTTTTTTTTTGTCAGAACCATCGTATCTATTTCAAGCATCCATGTCCGACTGAGCAGGCGCAGCACAACACGGAAACTATCAGCCAAAGTATAAGCTATTTAAGCCTCTTTCAGGGGGATTTGACGAAGACATAAGGGTGTTAGATTCCGTTGTATGGAGACAGAAAAAGGGTGAATGAGAGAGAGGAAGGAAAGGAAGGGAAGTAACTATGGAAGAAGATGATTGAGAAGGGAGAGGGAGAGGGAGAAGTAAAGGAAGAGGTAGAGATAGAGAGAGGAAGAGAGAAAGGACGGACACAAATGGAGCGCTAGAAAGAGGGTGATAGATTTTTCAAATACGTTAATTAGAACTTTACCAATCATAAATACAAAAAAAAAAAAAAAAAAAAAAATCTCGTAAACTGGCTAACCAAACACCGTTGTAATTACATGCGCCAAGGAGGCTATTTACTTTTGGTAGCCTTGGTTAGTTATTTTTGTTTGTTGGTTCTATAACTCAAAAGCTTATGAACTGATTTTTATGAATTTCTTATAGGTGTAAATAGTTCTAATTAGATGCCATTAAATTTTGGTGGTGATCCGGATTCTGGATTCTTAAAAATCATTGCATCAGTTACCCCTACTGCCTTGGTAACTATTATTAGTATTAGCATTGCAGAAATTATTATTATTATTATTTCTAATTGGTCAATCTTGTAGACCTTTATTTTGTAAACCTCTTTGCAAATTTTTATTCTGGTATCATCTGTATTGGATACAAAATCTTGGTCTTTTTCATTTTTTGTATGATTGTGTGATTGAGCTTGCCTTTGTCGCTGTCTGTATTCCAGTGTCCTTTTTGCTCTTCTCTTTACTATTGTCATCTTTCTCCCTCCTTTCTTTTAATTCTTTATTTCTCTCTTTTTCAGTCTTTTAACCAATAACCTAGACAAAGACGTATCCAAGACTAGAGATTTATTCCATCTGTATATACACCCTTTTCCTTTCCTCTTGTCTCTTCCCGCTCTCCGCTCTTCATCTGTTCACTTATTTTTAACAACAAAACCGCCATTTTTGACACAATGATTCAAGTCCTTCTTATTCCCATTTGAATACATTTTCTAGAATAAAAACAAGACAGTTATAAAATACGATTTCCAATGCCATGTGTCAGACCGTAAGGAAGGTCAGAGGTCGAGTGGGCGTGGCCAAATACCGGAAGTTGACAGAGCTCACACGCCTACCACTGGCGCGACGGGAATGATGGCTGCAACGGTCGCGGCGGCAGCGGGAACGGCAGGAGCGGCTGGAAAGAAAAAGAAAACGGATGATATTTTCTTTCGTTTCTTTCTTTCTTTCTTTCTTTCTTTGTGTTTTTGGTTTGCTCTACGTTGAAGAGAAGATATGATACTATACGAATTAATCAGTAATCGTGATTTGAAATAAATTCCAATACAGAAATACAGAAATCCTAATTAGTAAATATCTCTGGAAAAAAACACAAGAAAAGAAAATGGGAAAGAGCTAAGAAATAGATATAAAAGAAAACGAAATTCACAAGAGATGATGGGAATGAACGAACCGTAAATAGAAAAAATATGACATAAAATGGGAAAAGATGGAGACAAAAAAGGTAATGGGAAACAAAACAAAAGTGAAAAAATATAGAAAAATCGTAGAAAAGAAAACGGAAAATGCTAAACAGAGAACGGGAAACTCCGATCCTGCGGCTAACCTGGCTTCGCAGCTGTAGGTAATGGCGGCGGTGCAGGGGTTGTGTGAAGGGCGGCCAAAGCTGCGATTTCAGAGGCACTTGGGATGAAATTCTTCACAAAAGATGGGATGAAAGGATTTGATGCTGTAAAAGGGTATAAAGAAGAAATTAGTATTCTATTCCTTCATGATTTATACTACAGGGGCGGGGTTCAGAACAGTTAAGATGCATATTCTTATCAATTCCTTCAGGTGTAATAATTGTCATTATTCTAACTTCAAAACAGTATTCAAGCACTGCTTCCTTGCTCATATCGTATCAACAAAGCTAATTATTCTCTTACCTGGATCCATCATCCCAACTGGAGCGGGAGCTGGAGCGGCGGATGCCAAAGCCAAAGTCAGGGCTAAACTTATCAAAACGGACACTTTCATGTTGCTGACTGATGGCGGCTGGAAAGAAAGATGGCGATTAAATGACAAGAATTTTGATGATGTTGATGATGATGATGATGATGATAATGATGATGGTGATGGCGGTGATGATGATGGTGATGAAATAATGGTACCTGTGATGATAAAAATGAAAATAAACTTTAGCTATCATACGAAAGTGGTTACAAAATACAACAAAATGTAAGATAATGATTTAAAAATTTATGGGAAAGAGCAATCAGAAAAAAAAAAAAATACAAAGTCGCCACACAGTTGACACTTAGCGACAGGCGTGTGGCAAGGAGGACATATGACACTGAGAAAAATACGATACGTGCTTGACACATGACACGAGCAAATCAGCACTGAAGGTTATACAAAAGACGATGATAGAAAGGCAGATGGCAGATAACAACTAATACTTGTATACACTGACGATATCGGAAGAAATTTATTTATAATGTAGAATGAAGGAAGATGTGCGATTTTTACTTATGAATAATAATAATAAAGGAACATTTATTCTTGCTAATGTATAAAAAACGTAAAAATATAATATGGCTATGTTCAACTGCAGCTGTTATTTCAGTTGTGGATTTATTAAAAATGATAATAGCAATGGTATGTTTTTTTGTTTTTTTTTTACAAATATTAGTCATGAAAATAGCAGTAAATTTTGCGATAAAAACATTAGTTATTCTCATCCGTTTCTGTTTATTTTCTCGATTTTTCACCATGTGTTTCACATCGATTCCGCCCTAAAATTACAACAGGAAATAATGATAATGATGGAAATAAATATAAAATTGATAATTAACAGACCCCGGACAACCTACCTTCAATGCGTCCGAATCGATGACACAAATGGCGGCTTAAACATCAGCAGCATCGTTTTATACCTTCGTATCAGATCATGTGGCGAAGCGTCACTGAATCCCCTCGTGATACCTAATCCCTTCTTGCATTATCCAGTCAGCATCGCCATGGGATAAGCCGGGTTAACAACAAAAAAAAGACAAGTGAGATCGGAGTCTTATCCACATGGGTCGGATGTCGGCACGTTCGTCTTTTCGGCGTTTTGGCGGGAAAGACGTTTTTCTCCTTTGCTTCTAATGTGTTGGGGTATGTGCTTGCATAAACTAAGTCTGTCTGAATGTTTTAGCATGTTATATCACACACACAATAAAAAAACACAAACACACACACACACACACACACACACAGATTTTATTTATTGATCCGAACTTCAAGCGGTAATATGAGAAATGAAAATCCAACATATATATTCTAAATAAATTCCCTATCTTCCTGGAAAGCGCTTTATAGCAGTGTTTTTAAAAGTCACGGAGTAATCCCTTAAGAATCTGATGAAAGCTATGATCCCCTTCTCCGGATATATTCGCATAAACACAACTTTGCATGCAATGTGCACAGTGTACTTTTATTGCTCTTTATTGCCTCATACACATTTGGAATACACAAAGTTTTCCTAAACTTGAAAGTAAACAATCAAAATGAAAATAAATATAAATGTTATTATCTATCTGGATAATAACAGACTCCCTGAAACCCATCCAAGTAGGTTATGCCTCCGGTAACGCTGGTTAGTTTGTTAGTTGGTTAGCAGGTTAACTCAAAAAGAAATGAGCAAATGTGTCTTAGACCAACTTAGATGCCATTAAATTTGGTGGTGATTAGGATCATGATTCGGATCCAGGATTTTTTTTTAAAGGATTCATTAGCATTGCGAGTTAGGGAAACGGACGTCACAATTATTAATATAATAAAATGATTAATGATTAATAAACAATAGTGTCAACCATAATTAACAATAAACAATAATACAACAACAATAACAATAATAATAATAATAATAATAATAAATAATAAAACCAAACACGAAGAGGTGTTTTTGATGTAATTCTTCAATGTGAATATTTTCATTGCATCAGTGTGCCCTGGCGGAGGTATGCGCTCTCTCAGTGCTTCTAGTTAGTTCTCTTATGCCTTCTTTCACTTCCTAGGATATATGAACTTACATTTCAGTTCTTCTATGACTTTGCTTTACGAAAAATAGACAAAAACAGACGTGTTTTTTTCTAAATTACTTGGTATTAAAAGGAAACTCCTTGCTCATTATGTCGAATAACATTATAGTGATGATTATGATAATGATAATAATGATCATGGAAATGATAACTGTAACGATAATAACAATAGCATTAGCAGTAGTAGTAATAATAACAATAATAATGATAGTGGTAATGATAACAACACTGATAATAATAATAATGATAATTATAATGACAATAATGATAATGGTAATGATGATGGAAATACTACTAATACTACTACTACTACTAATAATAATAATAATAATAGAATGATAATTAATGATAACATAATAATAAAGATGATAATTGATCAATCATAATGATATAATAACAGTGATGATTACCATAATGATAACAATAATGTGAATGATGATAATGATAGATAGAATAATAACAGTAAAGATGATGCTAATTACAACAATGATAAAACATAACAACACTAGTAGTATAAAATGATAGTAATGACAGTAGTGAAAATGATAATAATGATGATAATAGTAATAGTAATGATAATGATGCTAGTGCTATCGATGACAAAATGATAATAGTAATAACAATAACAAATGATAATAATACTAACAATAATGATATCAGTAATGATAATATTGATGAAGATGATAATAATGATAATGCCAATGATAATAATGATAATACAAATGATAATAATAACAAAATAACGATGATGATAATCATTATATCAAATAGTAAAAACGGTAATAAAAATGATAATGGTATAAATAATGATCTCAGTAACAAAAATAGTGATAATAGCAATGATAATGATAACCATCGCCATAATCATTAATATTATCATTTTCATTATCATCATTATGATAATGATGATAATGGTAATAATAACAATAATAATATAATAAATAATAATATAATAATAATAATAAATAATAAATAATAATATAATAATGATAATAATAGTAATGATAATGATGATAATAACAATAATGGAGTAATAATGAGAATAATGATAATGACAGTAATGATTATAATAATGATTATAACAATAACAATTATGTCAGTAATAATAATAATAAATAATAACAAAAACAACAGTAACAATGATAATAATGACAATAATAATAATCATAATGGTAGTGACAATAATAATAATAATAATTAAATATGAAAATGATATAATAATAATTAAAATGATGCAATATAGTAATAATAACAATAATTTAATATAATGAATACTATAAAATAGTAATAATTAAAAATACAATGATAATGATAATTGATATAATTATTTACATTATCATCATACATTTTCATAATCATTATCATTTACATCTAATCGATTCCTATTTCCTACCTTAAGCATCATCCACAATCACCACCACTACCCATTCAATTCATCTAATACATCATTATCCATCCCATCATCATCTATCTTCCTTCTACACCAAACATCATCCTCCTCTCTCAATAATAAAAAGTCTTCTACGATCATCAAACTATACATTCAAACACCTTTGTCAGTGTAAACATAGCTCCACGGGGCTGCGGGTCGGTCCGGTGTCTCAGGCGTAATTTCGTGTAGATTCATATCGCTTTTCCTTCTGTAAACTTCTTTAGTATTTTGGATGATTTTTTACATTTATTCTTTTTCATCGTCCAGAAATTCATTGCCTAGGGGAAAGTACTATGTTCTGTCTATAATGTTGTTACTTATTTTTTCCTATCTATTCTCCTTCGCTTTGTCTGTGTCTGTCTGTCTTGGCTTTGGCTGTCTTGGTTGTTTAGGGCTGTATTGGGTTCTGTCTAGTATGCCTGTACCGTCTTTGTTCATGTCCTTGTCTGTCTCTATCTCTATCTCTCTCTCTCTCTGTAATGTTACATATATTGATATACATACATATATATTATGTATATATTACTATATATATATATCTATATATATATATATATTTATAATTATAAGATATAGAAGAGAAGGAGAGAGAGAGAGTAGTAATAGGGATGGTGAAGGGAGGAAGGGATGTAAGTAGGGAGGTGAGAAGATAGGGAAGGAGCATGATGAGGGGAGAGAGTGTTGTAGATGTAGGAAGTCATTATATATTATATCTATATATATATATATATTTATATAATATCTATATATATATATACTATGAGTCTGTGTGTGTTGTGTGAAGCTGTGCTGTGTGTGTGTGTGTGTGTGTGTGTGTGTGTTGTGTGTGGTGTGTGTGTATGTATGTATTAATATCTAAGTATATTATATATATATTATTAATATTTATATCTATATTATTATTATTACTATTTATATATATACTAATCTTTATACTCCTTAAGTATATAAGTATAATATATTATTACTATATATATATATTATATCTATCTTTATTATATATATATGTTATATTATATTATATATATATATTATTTATTTCTATGCATGTGTGTGTTGTGTGTGTGTGTGGCTGTATATCTATATGTATATATATTGTATATCTTATAAATTAATTATATATATATTTATTATATAATACTAGTTAATTACTATATATATATATTAATGTGTGTGTGTCGTGTGTGTGTGTGTGTGTTGTGTGTGTCGCTGTTAGTTGTGTGGTGGTTGTGTTGTGTGTGTGTGGTTGGTTGTGTGTGTGTGTGTTGTGTGTGTATCGTATGTATATAAGTATATATATATATATATCTCATATATTATATTGTTATGATATATATATAGTATATATAGTACATATTTATATTTATATAATATATATATATAGTTATTATAACTATATTATTAGTTATCATAAGATATTAAATAAATATATTATATTTTATATATATATATATATTATAACATATATCTTATAATACTTATTATTACATATATATATATTATATATATATATATATATATATATATATATATGTATTGTGTGTGTGTGTAGTGCATGTATATAAGTAGTATATGTAATATATTATATTAACTCTTTAATATTTATATTAATATATATATATTATATATTATATATATATCTACCATCATATTAATATTTTATATATATTATTTATTATTATAATATCATTATAATCTATATATATATCGTATATGCATGTATAATATACGTATTATATATATATATATATAATATTATAATAATATATAATTTATATTATATATATAATATAATATATATATATATATATATAATATATATAATATATATATATATATATTATATATTAAATATAATATATTATATATTAATATATATCATATATTATATATAACTAATTAATAAAATATATATATATATTTTAATGTATATATAATTTATATTTATGTATATATATATATGTGTGTGTGTGTAGTGTGTGTATATTATATATGTATATATATGTATATATATAATATATATATATATATATATATATAATATATGTGTGTGTGTATATATGTATAATATTAAATATATAATATATATTATATATTATATATATATTATATATATAAATAAATGTATATAAAATATTATTATAATATAGTATATATATATATATATATATATATTATATATTTATATATATATACATATATATTATTATATATATATAATATATATTTATAATATATAATTATTTATTAAAATATTAAGTATAATATATATATATAGTATTATAATATATGTTGATGTGTGTTATTAATATATGTAAAGTATATTATAGTTATATATATATATTTTATGATATATATTTATTAATGTTATAATATATATATGTATGTATATATATTTATATACTATACCATTATGTTATATTAATAACACCACATACTACATACATTTAAATATTATCTATATATATATAATATTATATATATATATTTATATATATATATATATATAT